GTAAATGTGGGGAGTAGGTGTTCTGGAACGAAAAATGTCCTCATGAGAGAATGTTTCAGAGGAGGATCTGGTTACTGCTTGCTCACTCGGAGCTCATCAGAAAAGATTGCAACGATAAAAAAATCTGTTCGTTCGATGAAGCCTATGTAGTTCGTGTCCGGTACCAAAATGCTGATACCGCGTCCGTTGGACCATTGGTGTTTTATTTCCAACAACAAGTTTGCACAGACAACAAGTAATAACACAGACTATAGCATTACGCTTCAGGGTGTCTTCCACCTTCGCCTCTGTATGGCTATCTACATGCCCAATATGTTCCATGATAACGCTCATTGTTTCACCTAGCAAGTGGCTATCTACAGTTCTCAGGAGAATGGTGCAGTGTCTGCCGACTGCTAAGGCTGCTGCACTTCCTTCTGTGAACTATCTGGCTTGCCAACTTGTCTGTGTAGACGCCAGAAGGTTAGACTGATATACATCGGTGGATGGGTTACGCCTAACGGACCCTTCGTCACAAGACATCTAGGTAGACGCAGAAGCACGTAAGAAGTCGGTATATAAAGATCATTATCATTAACACTACAATAGCGAGTGTCCAGTCATTCTCGTCGGGTATCAAAGAAAACAGCCATTCCCTCCTGGTATCGAACAAGCCCAAAAAAATAAAACGCATAAACCATTACAGATCATCCTTCGTCAATTTCCGTCTCCATTTGACTGGATTAGAGTTGTTCGAGGACGCGAGCGTTCACTGTCTGCTGGATGGCATCAGGGTAGGCGTTGGAAGTTCCATTAGACGGAAGTGAGGAAGGTCCGGCGCCATCTTCATTCTCGTCTCCAAGTTGTCTGGCTACGACGTTACCCGAGTCGGCGGGTCCTGGCATGAAGATGACCTTTGAGTTCGCGGACTTGGCCATTGCTTGCATGGCCTCGAGGTATCGGATTTGCATGGCTGGTGCCGATGATAAAATGTCAGCAGCCCTGTGATTTTCACGTTAGCCATGTACAAGAAATGGATGGATAGGGGCGTGGTGTACCTTCTCATGAGCTTAGCGCTCTCTACTTCAGCACGGGCTGCGATGACCTTGGCCTCTCCCGTGCGCTTGGACTGGGCAGCCATGGAGAGCGAATCTTGCAGTTCCTGGTTGAAGATCAAATCTTTGATGAGCATAGACTCGACCTCCACACCCCAGCCGGCGGAGGTCTCCTCGATGATCTCGCGAATGGACTGTGCAATCTCCTCACGGCGCTCGATAACATCCTGAAGAACACGGGCACCGACAACGTGACGAAGTGTTGTCTGTGTACGCTCGACGAGAGCTTGGCGGATATTGGCAATGCTGAAGGCGGCCTTGTGAGGAGAGGTGATGCGGTAGTAAATGACCGAGGTGAGTTGCAGAGAGACGTTATCTTTGGTCATGCAGACCTGCTTGGGAACTTCGACGATCTGAATTTTGACATCGACCTGAACAAGCTTCTCGGAGAGCGGGTTGATGTAGACAAGTCCAGGATCGACAGCGCGGGCAAAGCGACCAAACTTGGTGACGAGGCCAACATTTCCTTGGTTCACGGGCTGGTAAGGATTCGGGCAGCAGATACAGCAGGGAATGGCACCGAGTGTACCGACGATTCCTCCGAGAGTGTTGACCTACATGGTGTGAGCTGTGTGTCAGGTGATGATCAGATGCTCTAACTTACCATTCCACCGTACCAGCCGTGGCTATCAGCATCAGCATCATCTGGCTCGATGACCTTTGCATAACTGGGCTGCAAATCCTCGCGACGCGGAGGTTGAACCTTGACGATGGGCTCATCAAGACGGCGAGTTGGAGAGCCGCCGTTGGTGCCGTTGACGGGCATTGGAGCTTTGCCGTTGTCGGACATTGCTGCTGCGTTCGTAGAGATACTGTGTCTGTCTAGAATGGGTCGTGATGAAGATGTTGTCGATTCGGCAATCGTATGTGTATCGTTCATGTGAGATGGCACCATATTGGACGATGGTGGTTGCCTTTATACATCTGACATTGATGAATACAGTAGCTGTGGGGAAGCTAGTAAGTGACGCGAAGTGGAACCTTGCACCTGCGTCTGTCTCGCCCTAACACCTTGGCCACCCTTCTTGGGGCTGTGCTGGAGAAGCACAATGGAAGCTCTGAATGTAATCACCGTGGTAACGAAGTCACACAACGTCCCGCATCTCATGCTTGGTATCAGGACGCAGCCCAGAAACGCGCGACTCTAACGAACTTATTGTGATTGTTCTTTCTTCGTTCATTACTTGATGGCTCGCAATTCGAACCTGGAGCGCTGCATCGCTTCAACACCGATTCACATCCAAGCACCACGTGAGATCGGCACAGCAGCCTTCAGGCCATCCATCCGCAGCATTGAACAAGTCGGTTAACACGGCCTCTTCATCCCTTCTAACCCAAAACGCGGGCCTTAGTGCACTCGTGACGTAGCCACCTCATCGCGTGTCTGCCTCAGTGGCTACAACAATATTGCATTGTCCACACATATCTCGCGCAGTTGATATTTGCAGCATTTCCGTTGTCTACACGTCAATAGCTCGCACTTTGGGCACACCGAGCTGGATCACGCGCTGCAGTAGCGCCCCACGGCCTTGTACTTTCTAGGCTCGCCTGAATCGGCTCAGCCTTACCGGTGGCGTAGCGTCGAATTTTGGAAGCATCAGACAAGCTTGTGAGGCTCATGTCCGTTCAGGCAGGAAATAAGATCTATCAATACGTGATTTCAAGGCTGCGGTGTCGGAGATGGCCCGGCCTGAGCACTGTGGAAATAACGGCGTAGCTCCTGGATTTTCTCCGAGTGCTCTTGGGAAGGCCTAACGAGTCTGTACTCAGTGTAGCTCAGAGTCCATCCCGTTATTCCCATGCGCTCTTTCGATGCACAGAACAATGCTCCATATTCTGGGAGTCTGCCCTGGGGTTTGCCACATGAGTACCGGCATGTAGTCCAAGCTCTCCAAGACCGCATTCTTCGTATTGACTTTTGACCGGTGAGCGTGAGTTCACAGCAATGAATTTCGTCTGTGTTGTTCCTGCACTGCCTCGGTGAGCGCATTCTTCGCCTTCAGACATAATGGCTCACCGCGCTGCTTATTCTAGTCGCTTGCCGTCCTCTGGATCGTGTCTTACACCCGGAGGCTATTTCGCGCAACGGCGTGGTAGTACAGCCAGCGGCACCATCGCCGGTGCATCTTTCTCGAAGTTGATCTTAGACGCCGGACCGCAGCCTTAGGTGTGTCAGCGCTGTAGACATCGCAAATAGACTCAGTCATAGCTGATCCCGCTGACACTTCGGAGACGTGTGTATCACTTAACTGTTAATTTACTATTCTACAGACTACTCTGGCGAAGTAGCATGTAATAAGGATAACTGACTAAGTCATGTGCAGTGAAAAACGCTGCCTTCCCAACAAGGAAAGAAAAGGAAAAAGTGTCGAACACAGCTGCTACATACAACCTGTCATCATGCCTGCCGTGCCGCATGATAATTATCCCAACAAGGAAGGAAACAGGAAAACCATCGAACGCCTGCGTTCACGAACCACTCCGCCACGTGGCTGCGTCGCAAATGCTACGGTTGCACCATCGGAGCACCGAATTATCCCAAGTAGGAAAGAAGTAAAAAAGTGTCGAACACGTGTTCAAAAACCAAATCCGTGCAGCACAAGGTTGTTGCTAGCGAATGATTTGTATACATTGAAGTTGTTGGAGTCGTTCATACGTTATATAGGATGCTCAGGTGCGCACTGCTCCAACCAGTTAGCCAACTCAGACACAACATTTGAACAGTGTAACATAGGGCCGGCTCTTTATTTGGGCTTTGAATTTACCGTGTGATAGTATGTTATTTGAATTGGACTCGACTCTAAATTTACAGGATCACAAATTTATCGGGCTCGCAGAATATATTCACAGTGCAATACACAACACATAACACCAACTTGACAATCCGACAACACGTTGGCACAAAACCAAAAGGTTGCCCAGATCCACATTATAAGGTTAGTAGATACTCCAACCATTACGCCTGTGATAGTGAGACAAACATGAAATTTGGAAAAGCTGATGAGGTCTACAGAAACTCCTTGCAATTCATGAGATACCGGTCGAAGAACCCCATGCTTCCTCCTTAAAACGCCTAACTTCACCATTAAAGCATCTGTCACATCAAAATAACCAGAGCGCCCAAAAGCCAGATAATAAAGCGAAAAACTACCATTCATCCAACGCTCCGCGGACACATACGCCTGCCAATTAGTAGTTACGGTACGAATATCGTCATTGTACGGGATTCCGTGTGTAGCAACTACGGCGTACCTCACCATTGATTTCTCTCGTATATTATATTCTATCCAGACAACATCGCTGCCGCAGACGCCCAAAATTTGTTTAAAGCTGAACACAGTGCGTCCACTTCCTCCTCCGCGCTCCCTCGCGTACACGGCTCTGTTCCCAGATGCGAAGCTAATAAACACAGCGAGCTTACTTCGAGCTTGCAGTTATGGCTGCTGCCGGGTTCAGCGGTTTCCTTGGAATGAGTACAGATTTGTGTAGAGGGGGCATCAATGAATGCTGTATCTATACCCTGTGCCCGAGTGGAAGCCACCACGATAAATGGAATTGAGATAACCGCAAGTGCTGTACGGTGAGCTCGGATTCAGCCAAATTGGATAATTGAGGTCGGTGACAGTACTGTATCTTCGAATGGCTATGTTGATACTGCGGACCTCAGGAACTTCTAGTTGATGTAGGTGACATATCCCGCGAATTAATCTTTGCCATTTTAATGATATATTTGTTACATATCGGAATGCAAGCTCCAAGGGGCGTTGCTTCACTGCCACGCGCCAACCTGCATCGCGGGACCTAAGCCATCAAAAGCATGTTTTTATCGTCTGTCCACCACTTCAGCAAGAACTTGGACTATTCCCCACATTACCCTTGTTGCACATGCACAAAAACAATGCCTCGCCCGACGTGAGACTCGAACTCACAGCCTTGGGATTAAAAGTCCCACGCGCTAACCCTTCAACGTCGTTAATACATCATCTTTGAACATTGCTGAGAGCGAGAAGACCTACAATTGTGCCAGCCGGGCGTTGAAAAAGAAGGCGTGTCCCCTGCCAGACTCGAACTGGCGGCCTTGGGATATCTGCTGGAGAAGCAGTCACAGCGTGTTGACTATGAGACCCACGTGATAACCAACTACACCAAGGAGACCTAACAACTCAATTGAGCTGCTGTGATTATATAATCCGTTGCAAAACTGATACGTATATATTCCACAATTTGGGACCACAATCGAATATCTTCAGTCGTAGAAGACATTTTTCTTGTTCCACTCAATTTCGTACTCGTTAGTGTTGTGTAGAGAGTGGACCCCTGAGTCATTTTGTCGTAGTGGGTCTTCCACATTAATTCTCGGGGGCATTATAGGATTGTGCTGCAAGCACTAGACTATTCATGTTGGTGAGTAGGCATTGTAGCAGAGTTGCCATGTTCCTCCATAAAGGTACACTTGATGGTATTCAGTCGCTAGGATAGACCAGGCGTAGGTGATGTGTGGCATGGACCAACTTGACATTTCTTAGTCAGACACGCTCATGTATAGCATGAGCTGATGATGAGGTCTATTAAGTGCCCATCTGTCGGGTCAGGCAAACGGCGCTGGAACCTTGTTTACGGCCCGCTACCAGAACATCCCACAATAGAATTCGCGGTGTGCAACTTCATTGCATTTGATGAAAGCCTACTGTACAAAGTGCGGGATCGCCTTTCTCAGTACGGAACGGCACGAGGTGGAGGTAGTATCCGACCGCGGGCGCAGCCGGGGGTTCAGTTCGATTGTTGACTCGGACTCAATTGCTCAAGGACCATATATCTAGGTATCTCAGCCACGAACATCTTTTCATCTTTGTGCGACACTCGCAACGGCCGAACAATTAGTTAGTTTCAAAGACGTCCAAAGCCCTGTATAGCCGCGGGGTGGGTCAGTTGGGCTGAATGCATCGCAAATCTGACCCAATGCCAAAAGTGGACCCGCTGGGCAGCCGTGCGAACAGCTTGGTAGACTACCGACCGCCCGGAACCCAATCAAGGTAGTTTCGGGCAGCAAAAGATTCGAAATCGTGAGGAACGTGAACAGTGACTCACTATGTTGTAGAGCCCGGTGGGTACTAATGACAATGTAAGGATTGCTCCCATCTCCGCAGCGCTAAGGCTTATTGGTCTCAGCCGTGATGCACCCAGCAGACCAATGATATTTCCAATGGACACGCTTTAAAGACTGTATTCAAAACTGAGTTGGGTGGATCCACCTGTACTTGCTTTTTGGTGATGGTGTTGTGGGTGAGGCTAGGCGAACACGCTAAGCCTTTGCAAACGCCACTGCATAACTGACCTCAAGCCCTACCGAGCACATCGAGGTGGAAGATATGTGTAAATATGGAGATATTGGTATCTGAGAACGCCAATGGGCGCATACGAGGTCCTTGCTGTATGAATGTGGATCAGGAAACCCTGAACAACAAGGCCTTTCTTCTTGTCGTGACATTGCAGTGGCTTCTCGAGATTCAAGCCGTGCAGAAGAATGTCATGGATGCCGCGGAACAGACCCTTGAGGCTGGCCAATTCGATCCAGTGATATATCTTGAAGGTGCGAGCCGCAACCGTACGTTCAGCGTATAGTTGTTCATCATCTTCCGTTCGACTGGTCTGATTCGAAATAGACTGCAGAGTGGAGGCTACACACTATGCAGAAAATGACCTCCTGTTGCGAAATCTGAGTACATTCTTTCTTTGACCTGGTACCCGGTTTCTCATGTCGCGCAGCACAACGCCAGAGCGAGTGCAGTTGCGCCACCTGTCCAAAATTGTTTGGTGGAGCTTGGAAAAGCGGAAGACAGCGTTCGTACAGAAATAAAACGCCGCAGCTGCTGAAGAGGGTGGGGGATTATTGGCCATGAGCGCACGCTTTGGTATGGCCTGGCTGGGTCGCGGCTTTGTCAACAGCAGGCCAGTCATCAGATCGCAGGAAGTGCATCGGATCTCAAGTCGTAAATGGCATGGTGTGACGTCGAGAGGGATGTAGATGTCCTAATCAATATGAAACTGGAAGTCTGCACGATGTTCCCTTTTCAAGCTGGCTCTGCGTCCACAGAGCTCGTGGAAGTAGGAGGCTCTGAGTGCGTCGGAGACGATAACGGTCATCGTGTGTGCCACGAGACATGATGCGCATCAACGGAAAGCTGAGGTATGACGCCAAAGACTACAATCTTTAGAATCCGTCTATCAGAAGACACAGATACCACTCGATGCTATGCATCCTTCACCGGAATCCTCAGCGGCAGCGGGGTATCAGACGCAGAGCTTCGTCAGCGCGCGTGATGAGGGGAACTCTCGGAACGAGGCGACATGGTTACACCAGGTACAGCTGTCTTCATGTCGTTGGTCCAACAGCTAGACGCTGTGCGCTAATGTGTGGCATATTCTCGAAGGCCGTGATTCGCGACAAACAGACGGATACACGGTCAGCCTTGATGCTGGATGATCGAATAGACCCGCGTGGCGAAGAAATACATATTTCTTCTCGCTGCGACTTTAATGGGCTGTTGCGAGATTGAAAGTGCTGTGTTGTTCCTGCATGGTCGACGCCCACTGACGTGGCTAGCTCCCAGGAAAGAAGCATGGCCGGCCCAAGAGTGTGCATCTGAGATCATGGCGGATTGCAGAAGATCGAGCACAAAAGCAGATGAAGCTAGGAACGAGTGGTCCTGCCATCGTTCACCGTGTGAAACGTGGGGTGGGATTGTTGAAGCTGCCGAAGAAGTGCAAGCTAATGGGACGATGATACAGGCATCCGCTGTAGTGGAGCAGGGATCAGCGACACTAGTGGCTGGAACAGTTTAGTTCCCGCTGTTAGCGCAGACTACCAGACTTCTTGTGTGCTGGCGATGAAGTGGTCTTGGATGGGAGCCCTCCACGAAGCGGTGAGGCAGCAGGAGTGGTTAGGAGCTTGCATGGAGATGACGGGCAATCCCGGTTCCTCTTCGTCACCGACCGCGCTGCTTGACCAGTTGGGTTGGCGATGCACGTCGGTCTGGTTGAGACGTTCGCACATGTTGAGATGCCCAATCGCAAGACCTCGTCTACAAGGCAGGAGTGCCTGTTGCGAATCCGCACATGGAAGACGTTGATCGTTGCAGGGAATCGCCTGGTGAGGAAGAGAGGGTCTTCAATGTGCTGCTGTGTGTCAATTGCTTCAAGTGTCAGACTCAGACACTCGGACTTGGTGATGACGCCCAGCGTGCGCGAGGAATGCAGGACAGGGCAGGGCAGAGACGATGGCGACACAAGCACAGCTGTGCACCGTGTCCGCAGTCCTTCGTAGCAAGGCACTCGGCAGCAGCGAGGGTCAAGGCCAGCGCGCACCGCGTTACGGCGGCGCACTGTGGCCGGCAGAGGCAAAGGCAGCGGACGGACGAGGGCAATCTCCAGTCTTGTGACGGAGTGTGCAATGTGCCAGGCCGGCCGTGGGCATCAAGCCTGCTGTGGTGCGTGCCCAACGACGTTTAGACGCAGCGTGCATGAGAGGCTACGGCCAACTGGGGCATTTAGCACGGCAGGGCGGCTGGGCCGTTTTGAAATTTTGCTGGCGGGGATGCGTCTGCGTTGCAGCAGTCGATGCCCGAGTGCGCCTGCATGCATGCCTGCAGCTCACTCAGTCGCCCAGACACCCCAGACTTCTTTCTCACGCCCGCTCCCTCACTCCTTTCCCCCCTCTTCGTCCCGCCGACTCGACATGAGACGATAGCAGCGCCCTCCTCAGCCCGTGCAAACATGCGCACCCTGCGATAATTGTTGTCGCAGTCGCAGCCGCAGTCGATCGCCCCGCGGGCGCCCATCATTTATCGATATCGATACCCTCCCGCCGCTAGACATTTTCCCGAGCAGCGCGCCCTCACCAGCCCAGCGCCGCCCAGCCTGATGCCGCAACTGACCACGGGCGCTGAGCCCACCATGACGAGCTCCAAGCCGCTGCAGGCCACTGTCGAGGACTACTTCTCCGACGATGGCCAGGGCGGCCAGGGCGTGTCCATCGAGCCCTTCACGCCCGGCTCGTCGCCCGGCAAGGCAAACGTGCGCACCAAGCGCTCTAACCCGGGCGACATGGGGCCCGACAGGACCCCGACAGGAAGGGTACCAGCAAACATGGACGGCAAGAGCGACTCTGGGTATTCTAGCCAATCCGTCGCCGGCATGAGTAGCGCTGATTCGGCCGCAAGTGCTGCTTCGTCCCAGCGAGGCCCGCCCGTCCTCCCCGCGAACCCGTCGCCAACGCCCACCCAGAAGCCCTCGCGGCCGTCCCACAGCCGCCGAGAGAGCACCCAGAGCGCCCAAAGTGCCCAGAGTGCCTCGCGCCACCCACCCTCGCGCAGAGACTCGACGACGGCCTCGCGCAGAGACTCACAGTCGTCCCGCCGGCCACCCACTGAGCGCCGGCCCACCCTGACGACGCAGCAACCACCGGTGCCCAAGCGCAGGGACAGCCGAAACGTCGAGGAATGCACCACGCCTGGCTGTAACTGCGGCCTCGAGCTCGCTGAGCCAAAACCACGTCTACAGACGCGCCGCCAATCCCTGCTTCGCAATCAACACCCCGCCGAGTCTGCCCCGGACGTGTCCTACCAGCACGTCTTCGACACGCGGTCACAGATCTCAGACCCTGCACAATACCAGGCCTCCTCGCCAAGGGAGAACCGGCCTCCTCGATACCACACACCGCAGGGCGGACCTGTCATCCAGCCCGCTGTGTCTCGTCGTCCTTCAGTGAGCGGTCATCAGCCACGACCTACTAGCTACCATGGAGATTCTTCTTACCTTTGGTCGCAGCCTGGTATGCATGGCTCTCATCCCAATGCCCCACCGGAGCATGGCCCGCCTCCCTCCAGATCAGCATTCAACGCCTTCCCCTATGGCCAATCTCCAATGAACCCCCAGTACATACCTCCGTTCCCGCAACAAGGCCCCGTCCCGGCC